TTGTTAATTTTCTAAATGTTTCGATTTTTATCTCGAAAAATGTAAAATACATCGTATCGAAAACTATCGAATATAAATATATATATATATAATTGTAACGCGTTATAATCCTTTCGAAGGATGTTATTTTAAAATTATTATTTTTAAAAAACTACGAATAGATCGAGGAGAGGCGAGAATTCGTCGAATACGTTAATAATTAACCGTAATTTTACGTATTTCCGCGTAATTTCGATGTTATTACCGTGAAAATTTTGAAATTGATATTTATAATCGGGAAATAAAGCTATTTTGCATAAAATGCATAAGCGGAAGAAAATAAAGGCGCAACGCGTTCGAGCGACACGTCACGTCTAACTATACTCCAACCGTATCTACTTGCCGTAGTTACGCACCCAGCTAAGTGGAACGAGGCGTTACGTTCAAACGTCGCTGTTCCGGTAACACAATTCAGAAGGGAGTTCTCTCCGAGGACTTTCACCGTATTAACCCAATATCAGCCATACGCTTCAGAATCAGGTTAACAACCTCCTAGCTCCACTCTTCCCCTTCCGTTCATCCAAACAGTTTCATTATTCCACTATTTATTTACTCGCTACGTTCAATACTTGAACAACGCATTATCTCAAAAAAGTGGCCCCCTTAGCTAAAACTATTTAATTTTTCACGCGGTGCAAAAGCAAATATTTCTTTTTTAACGTTATTGCCCGCAGAAGAAGGTTGTTTTTTACGATAATGGTTCAGGGAAAAGGAAAATAACTTTTTCTCCGGTGAAAAGCGAATTCAAATTGCCTTTTTCCCAACCCTTCCTATCGTACCGATTCATAAACGTTTCTCCGGTATCTATACACCTCCATTAATATCTCGTTGTACCGAGGATCGTGGGGAAAAAAATATCGCATCCTGCAGTTTGTTTCCTTCGATTGCAGTTTTTGAATAACGCCGCACAAATCGGTAAGCAACGAACGGTGAAAAATAATAAAATGTCAATACGTGAATCACGTTTACGGCCGTTACAATAAAAATCGCCATAGGATCGCGCGTATACCTCGATGCAAGGAGAAAGCGACCAATATCTTCTTCCTTAATGTGCTCTGTCTCTGTTCGCCCATAATGGTACAAAGGCGACGCGGGATTCTAACTTGCGCGTTAAAATATACGGTTACGCCTGCTCGCGTGAGCAAGCAATTCTGTAGTTGCGCATAGATTTGCGAAAAGCTTTGAGATAAGACAGGTACAAAGGCCAACTGTGCTCCAATTTCAAACATCGATGTTTGTAAAATCATCTCTCCTTTCTATTTCGAGACCGATTTCGTCCATCGTCTCATTAAATGCCAGTATTTAATTCAACGATAAAATTGCAATATTCTCTAAAAACTTTTTCTTCTTCTCTACGAAACGAAATATCTTTCGATAATAGAAATGGATAATCGAATAATAGAAAATATGATCTATTCTATTAGATGCTTATATTTTTAAAAGATATTCTTCGTTATTTTGAACGCGTATACGTTTCAGAAAAATTAATTCTTGATTTACGAACAAGAATGTAAGAAATATAAGAAATGAAATTGATTAAATCTATGAAATCGCGATTTCAAGAGATATTCGTAAGTTTTCTTTTTCAAGAAACGAAATGATACGTTTGGCAAAGTATCATTGGCAACGCTATTTCTGTTCTACTAAAAATACTACGAAAAATTGATTCCACTAGAAAATATCAAAGTAAATATTATCTTATGGAATTAATTTATGGATTACTATAAAAAGAAATTAATTAAAATCGAAAGAAATCATCGACTATTATTCGAATCTCGAAATAAAACGTAAAACATTGTTTCTCGAGAAATAAAATATCTTTGATTTTCCATTCTTGGTTAACGTAACATTTCGTTTAACGTAGTACTTACTTATATTACGATAAAAATGGTACGAATATCGTCACTCACCAAGATCATAGAACATATAAATTTATACACGAAACGTAGCAAGAAATTTGAAAAATTGTAATAGAAAAGAGTATAAAAATGGCAACGTAGACGCAAGGCGTAGCTAAAATTACGTAGACGACGTATACTCGTTCCTAAGGTCATGGATAAGACTCGAAGGCGCCAGACAAGTTGTTTGCACAGGTCTAGATGACAAAACGTGCAACTCCTTTCCTATACCCTCTCTCTCTCTCTCTCTCTCTCTCTCTTCTCTCTAACACACACACTACGCATATACACGATTGGCTCGGCTAGCACACACGCTTGAAAGGCCTCGAGTGTGTGTTACCCGCGTCTGGCCGAGGGCGATATCGTTTACGATAATGCATGTGCCTAGTGCAGATCTCTCGGTCGAACGATCGTCCCCTTCGGCCTGCTTCCCCTATCGTCGACTCGTTACCTTCGACTTAGCACGTTCACACGCGATATGATACTTGGACAGACGCCGCTACGCTCCAACGACAATCTTCTACCGGTCGATTTGGAAAAATTGAACTAGAACGACGCGAATTTCCCACGGCTTCCCTCCCTCCCTCCCTCCCTCCCTCCCTCTCTCTCTCTCTCTCTCTCCTATCTTCGGGAACGCGTACCTCACGCTGTTGGAGTATTTTCCCATTTCGAGTTATTTTCCGGGTATATACGCGACCCGATGCTATCCGGCACGTAGGAGAAAATTGGCGGGCGCGGAAAAAAGGAATTGTAGCGAGCTGTTGGTTCGCTTTGTTCGGTATATCGCAACCAGGTTGGGTCGAGGCGGCGGAGACTCGCCGAGGGAATGAAACCTGATTTAGGACTGCGGTCCAGAAATCTCCCGAGGGACCGTCCGAGCTGACCACTGCGCGCTCGCTTCGCTTTCCAGCGTCCCTCCGAGCGCGATCCTCCTCCCTGCTACTACCACCGATTCTCCGCCAACTCCTCCGTGTCCCACGTCCAACGTCCTCGTGTCCCTGGACGCCAACAAGTGCGACTCTTTACCAACATCGCGTTCCAAATGCGTCCGGAATACTAAGAAACTACCAACTCCCCCCCACGTTTACACGCAACGATTTATTACAACGGAAATTCGTCCCGCGCGCGCACCGCATAAATTCTATTATCGAATCGAACGAGAATAGATATAGTTTCTATTTCGTCAAATCTTTCTATTTCCTTTTATTACACCAACGTAGAATACCATTTTCTCGGATACTTCTCCCCAACTTTATCTCCCTCCTTACCTTATTGTTAGAAGAAATTGAAAGAAAATTTCCGGCCCCTGTTACGAAACTTTCAATCGGTGGAATCTTTACTTCCCAACTTTCCTCCTACGTCCGATGCGGATAACAAATATTGTTTTGTATAATATCGAATCCCCGTGGTCCTGTATCGGGGATATCCCTGTAAAATCTAAAGCAAAGGAAAGAGGAGGACCCGAGTTAGAGGAAAAGTTTTAGGCGAGAGGCAAGGAAAAGAAAGGAATAAAGAGGAAGGTAGGAGAGACGCTCCTGGCACAGCCTGGCGTGTAGGTTACTACGTGCTTGCTAGTCGGGGCATCCCGTGACCGTGGTCTGGCTTAAGGATTCGGGTCAGGCTGTAACCTGCCTCGATTGCAAATACAAGGGGGAAACTACTCTCGGAGACACTGCCAAAACCAAAACTCAAGTGGCAGTGGCTATAAACCCGTGTGCAATCACCAAGATGCAAAAATTTAATCGGTTGATTCCTCGATTATCAACCTACTACGTCACTTTCTCACAGAGAAACAACCAGCTGTGATGTACATAAAAATACATACGTGATACACACGTATGTATGAGGTATGAATCGCAGAACAAAAGGTTTCGAATAAAACGGAACGTTTCCATCATCATCACGGATATTCGTCTTTGTGTAAAATTAACGTAAACTATCGAAACTATTTTAATTCAAATCCTGAATCGCTATTTGTTATCGTTACTATACGTTTAAAACAATTTTTAAATACTTGAAAATTGCTCGAATAACATGTTTTTCGTTCATATTTAATAATTGTACAATTAACGTATGACGTAATCAACCTACTATATATATATAAAACTATCTCTATTGTTATTAAAGACGCGAATAAATTTAGACAGAGAGACGGTAAAACTCGAGTTCTTCGTATCTCGTTCGAACGTTCTTTGTATAATAAAGCTCGAAATAAAAGATCGTTTCTTCGAAAATGTCAAGATTAGCATATAAATACTAGAAAGATCGAAGAAAGTTATTCGACCAGCTATCAAGGTAATTGCTAGATAAGTGCTTGAACGACATCTATATTTTTAAAGATTCCATCATTGCACGACCGCGTAATAGACCAGAATACAACACGACAAAGTATCACGTGCTAAGGATATTTCCAAATATTCCTTTGCGAGATGCGTTTTGCAAAGAAAAAAAAAAAAAAAAAAAAAAAAATTGGGCACCATGTCACGGAAAAATAACACGCCTTTTATCACCGGATATGAATCCTATTGAGCATACTTGGAATATGCTTGGGAGATTCAGGCACAAGAATGCACCCTCGATGCGACGAAAGCTCGTTGGTTAGGCACTGAAGAATGGCTCGGCATACCGTAAGAAGATCTTCCTCGCCATCTTTTTGGAAGATGTGCGCGCATTCTCGTCTTATTGCTAGTGCAAAAAATGAAAAATTCGAAATGACGGATGCTGAAAACATTCCGATCTACCAAGAACGAATTACTTCCATTTCACGTTTTGCATTCTTCACCGTTTATCTATTATATATTATATTCAACCGTTAATTCGAATCACTTGCTTATTATTATTCGTATTCCTAACGATATTCCCCGGTATACTTAATATTGAAAGAAAACTTTTCGAATCGTATCGAAAAACGAAAGTTTGCGAAATATTTACGCAATTTACGTATTGTTCATACGCGGAGAACAATATCGATGGTCCTCGATAAACGTCGAAAAGGACCGGTTTCCTTTCTCGTTCGTCCGTTCGATACGCGAGCCATTATTTTTTATGAGAAAATAAAAATACCTGGTTGATAAAGATAGAGGTCCGCGGCGCGCGGCCACACGATCGCCGAGCGCTCCACGCTGCCTGCTTGATTCCGCGTGCTTGCGGATCCGAAAAATCCTACGAAGAATCGCAAAACAACCACGTACTACTAATGATGTCTCGTTCCAGCACCGATGATCGTCGTTTACGTAATTCACGAGTCTTCTTCCTCCTCTTCGACGGTGTCTGCAGCACAACGATGATGCACCGTCATCCCTCTCCTTCTATTCGCGACATGAAAGTGACACACACGCGTTTCGATTCTCGACAACAGGACGGAAGAATCGTTTGACGGAGAGTCTCTATTTTTTTCTTTTCTTTTTTCCTACTTTTCTTTCCCTATTCACTCGGCCGAACACTCATCGATCACGTCCGATGTTGTTGCAACGTCGATACGGAACATCGATAAAAATTCAACGAGCACACAGATAACCCGACAACTTTCAAATTGATCACGAGCAAACTCGTTTCAACGCGAGGAACAACATCCGTGATAGGTTATATCGCGGAAGCGCCACTATAAGAGCGTCGCCGGTAGTAGTTTCGACGACCACGTGAGCTAGGAACGAGAATTGGATCCGAATCCACGTGTCGTCGATCTCGCGCGGACGATCACCTCCACCTTCGAAATCGAATCCGTAAAAGCCTGAAACTGTTTTACCGAACTCGCCAGGCCTGTATCCGGTACGTCGATTGACACGCGCGCCTCCCGTCCACGATGGTGAAACACAGCGGAGAAGAAGAACACTTGAAAAGAAGTGGAAGGAGGCGACTCTTTGTTTTCACGCTTTCGAAAGGACAATTTGAAACGACGTAAACACAAGGTGTAGTCAGTTCGACTCGTATATCACCGGGGCACGTGTATCACCACCAAATATCGATAACAACAACAATAACAATAACACCACTGAATCACCATGCGAAGGAAAATGGTTCCTTCGGAATCGTTTCTCTCGCTAGCTGCGCAGTAGACGCTCCTCGTGCTAGGTGTTAACCCCTTCGGAGATACAACCGGCGGTGAGAGCGTCAACCGCGTGGCTACCGATCGTGCTTCTTTTCGACGTCGTCGTATTCATCAAGAAAGGAGATTGGTCACCTTGTCTGTCAAGGTGTAACGTGATCCGTGATTCGATTCGTCACTCACGCGTTACGAACGAAATTCCACCTCCATAGAGGAAAAACTTGCCATCAACGGATAAAATCGCGGACTCGTATCCGGCGCGTTCCAATTATCACTCGATCGAATGCTACGTTTGCCCAACGTATGTGCGTTTCATTCGCCAAGTCTATTCACCGGCGAATGGAAATCCGTGGAACGGAGAAGGCAGGGAAAAGATGGGCGATAAATAACACTGATTGTCCAGCTGATCGGTACGTACGACGTGGTCGAAACTCGTTCACTCAGCAACGATAACTGCCTTCTTCTTTGCCAAAACGTGGAGATGGTGTACACTGCGGTCGCTCTCCGCACACTGAGGTTAGCTGACGTCACGAGCCCACCACGCGGAGGTAGTCTCGCGAACGAACGTTTCGCGCCGGCGCCCGCGGCGCTGCAATCTCTATAGATACACGACCTCTCTCCGAGCCGGTATACCGCCGGATATTTCCTATACGTATATCCTATCCTATCCGCGTTCACGATTCGACTCGACGACTCGTTTCTACCTACGATCGGAGACCGAGTTTAACGGTTTAACCCATCGATGGATAGGATCCAACACCAACACTTAATGAAGTTTTACGTTACGGAACGTTGGACACGATCAAAGGGAACGAACGGCCACGACTAAGACTGACAACTTCACGCGAATCGAGCGAGGGAAACTGTTCCGCGCGAATCGATACGATCGATTTATATCGAAGTAACGGAATTCTACTTCGACTTGGCGCGTTTGTTCGTTACGTTCGAAAACGAGAAACGTTCTATTCGATCGCTGATCCAAGAAAATAATACGAATATCATTATCGCGTAATATTTTATCATCCGCGTGTGAATCGATTAAGTTTAATTTCGTTATTACATACAATGTTATTATGAAATGTAATTTTTTTATTAAATAAAAGTAGAATGAAAAAAAAAATATTTTAGAGATTGAATGATAATAAATTAAACGAGGAATCGAACGATCTCTCCCTACAACGAACGATTCTATCTACAACGGAAAATTCTAGCGGCAATATTTTTCACGCGAAAAGGTTTCGGTTTCGCCACAGTGGTAATAGATCAATGTCATAAGTGATTTCAACGCTGAGCTTGTATGAAAATTCTTTTATTCTTAACCACGCGTTACCTCTCTAAAATGTACATGACGTTTGTAGAATTAAAATGAAAAGCGACGCAAAATACAGGAAAGAACTCTTGATCACCATAAATCATCGTTAAAACAATATTCTGTCAACGTTTCATTCCACTTTATAAACTCGTGCATTTCGTAACGTAAAATATATTATCAACGCAACTTTACCATCTCCATGCAACGTCCATTTGAATCGAAAAATCGATGGACATCGATCCCAAAGATCCGCAAGCATAAACGTTTTTTACGTTTATCAATTAATATCAATTATATTTTTCTCCGATACTTCGATATCGGTTATCCCTTAACTTTTTGCGCACGTTTTTACTCACGAAAAAATAAAATGGCGGATAAAGATCTCACGAATATCCCTCCCGCGGTGATACCCGTGATCCTTAAGGTGATTTCTCACAGACGGGAAACCGCGAACGAGGGATTTCAAAGAGAAAACTCGCAAGTCCCTTCGGACCGTCGTTACGGGTAGAAAGTTTCCACGGAAGTTGTGCCCTAACTCCGTTAACTCCGCCGAAGACGATGTAGAAATCGACAAATCCACGACGAAGAATCGTGAAAATGCCCTGATCTTTCGTGTATTTTTCAAATTCGATAAACGCGTATCGCTAAATTTTTTTTTACGATCGATATCGAAATATCGATATCGCTATAACAAATTAATCTGTAGGTAACCTAACGTTTTCTTATTTACATTATATACATCGAATCGAATAAAAAAGTTATTATTTCGAATCGAGAAGAATTTCGAATCAGAAGAAGGAGAAGAAAAAGAAGAAGAAGAAGATATCGTCGATACGCTTATCTCTTGCAACGATCGAATTATGCACGAAAAATAACAATTGATAGAATGTATTTACAAGGTTCCTACTCGTTATATCAACCAAGTAGCTGGTTTAAGTGCATGTCAGTTAGTATGTAGGTTGATGCAGTAGGAATAGAATAGCGAAGGAGAATAAACGAGAGCGAGAAGCAAAAGAGACAAATAGGGGGATACGGAATGGGGTGGAAGGGAAAGGAAGGATGAAAGAAAGAAAGAGAAAGGGCAGCCGTCAATCTCTTTCTGGCCCCATCTCGCTCGTTCTTGCTCCCTTTCTCTTTCGCTCGTTGGTCGTTGGTGGTGTTGGGTGGGCTGATGGTAGGAGGTGGATGGAAATCAATAGCCCTGAATAATGAACCCCAAGGCAGCACCCTCACTCCGCTCTCCACGGTCTGGAGCAGTCTCTCATGCATCCTCTCATTCCAAACCGAGAGAGAAAGCAATTCTCTACCCATCTCGCGCTTTCCCTCCTTTTCCATATTTCCCTCTCTCTTCTTCATCCACCGATCTCCTTCGCCTCTCTGCACCACCCGGGGCCTACCGATCCCTTCTTCCCTCCTTCTCAACACCCGAAAGGAGGTGTTTGTGTCCTCTCCTAGTCCCCAACTTTGCTACGAGACCCCCTCGAACCCAATTCGGATAACCGACGGAAGAGGAGGAGAAGCAGGAGGACACGGAAAATGATTACCCTCCTCCTCTTTCTCCTTCACCTCCTCCTTCTCTTTCTCCACGACGGATCGATGGTCGTCGAGCACCTTAGTTCGTGATTCTCTTGGATTCGGATCAATACCTACTTTAGCATTGCAATAAAATGGTCGGACAGCGCGTTATGATAGCCCACTCTCTTATCGAGTATCCGTCCAGAAGAAGCAATTTCGCGGCCACTAAATTTATTTGCGATTTCGCTCCAACGTGAACGTAACGCGTATATGATACGTTACCGCGATATCTCGACGAGAGGAAGGAAAGGAGAGGGATGATGCGGCCTATAAGATTAATAAAAGGATCGATCGACCATTGATAAATCATCGATGAATATTAAACAAATATTAATCGAACGAAACGTAAACGTTGTTCGAGCCAAGAAGGGAGGAGAGGTGCGATTCTGAGAAATTCCGAGGCTTGATGTTTTCATCCGACTGAGTTTCGATACGATGACTAGAATAAATAGACCCGTCAATTTACATAGTCGTTAACGGGTATAGCTGGCAAGCCCTTATCGGCTCGGTAGCTCTGAACCTCCTGACCTAGCCAACGCGTTCTACGTTATTCCTATACTCCTCTTCCTCTTCCTCCTCCTCCTCCTCCTCCTCCTCCTCCTCCTCCTCCTCCTCCTTCTCCTTCTCCTTCTCCTTCTCCTCGTCATCCCGTTCCTTCTCCTCTCCTTCCCTACACCTCGCCAACTTCAAGGCTCTTCTCCTATATACCACCTTGGATCCTTATCCGAAGGAGACGCTTATTAAAGATCGATCGGGGACACTGCAGCAATTCTTGGATACTTTAACCAATTGAAAGTAACTGGATAACTGGAAACGTTGGCCTGAATGCAAACTCTTGTAATTTACCATCGCCCATATTGCTCCTACAGTTTGTAACTTGAACGATGCATCCGTAACAACGAGTAAGAGCCACGGTTTAACGACATTTACAATTTAGATACGAGTGTCGCCAGAACGTTCTCCCTTTATTCGAGCTCGACGAGCTTCGATTATTAAAAATATTCGATATTCCGTTTGAATAACGTATTTATCGAATCTAGCTAGCCGAACGCGCGTACGCGAAACACACATAAAAGAACAAAACCTATTTTTTTTGTTTTACAATCGTATTCCTTTATCATGGACGACGAGAACGACGACGAGAACGACGACGACTTTGGTTCTACTCTTTCTTCCGTCCCACGCTACTTTTGTTTCGATCCCACGCCTATATTCGCTCGTCATTTCGAGACGATAAGTCCCGTATACCGACTGGGAAAATGTTTTCCTTGGCAATCAAACGGATCGTCGTCAACGCTGGTCGTCTTCTTTCCACCGAGCCAAAAGAGCCTAAAGCGGATCGGCGGAACAACCCCTCGTAAAGGCGGGCTTGGTAACGACTATGCAAATTTCATTTGGCCCGGCCCAATTCTTCACACACGAAAGATTAAGACATTAGACTAGCCGAAGGATGGAGGAGAGCATGCTCCAAACTCAAGACCGAACGTGCACTATATATATTCGGAGAGAGAAAGCAGAAGAGGAGCTTTCGCCATGAGATTCGGAATACCGACATACTTCCGCCGTCTGGATTATCTTCCTGTCTTCAACTATGCATCGTCTTCGCATATACGTAAACCTAAAACGACGGAGCTCTTAAATTTTCCGCCCAACTTTGCTCGTTACCGTACATAACTCACAGCGTTTCTAATAACCGCAACAATCGTTAATAACCGCGCGTTTTCGTTCAATTCCGTACGTCATCCTACTTTGCATACAATTAAACGCATCAGTCGTGTAAAACGTTTCGTATCTTCGTGATAATGTCGTTTTAACGAATCATAGTTTCCACGAGTGAAAAGCGGAATACGAGATACGGCATTCATTTTATATCCAGTTCAAATTATCGGATAAAATAAATACGATCCTAGTGTGAAAACAAGTTACGTATGGTATTATAATTTTAAGAAACTTAAAAGTGCAACAGCGATACAACCTTGCGAAATACGGTTTCTACTTTCACAAAATTCTTCAACTATGAGATAATTTTCAGAGTATCGGGTTCTCGCACGCTTCTAATCGCAACGCTTAAACGCTTTTTATCTCATTCTCATTCCTCGTATACGACACTTTTCCGGCAACGAAGCTCGCGTTCGCGCGAGAAGGCGTAATTTTGAAATTCGATACGAACATGGCTAGCTCTCTTTTCGTTGCGACGAGGAAGGACCAAGAGGAAGCGCAAAAAAGGAGAAAGCGCGTCGTTGCGAAGGAATAAGGTGGTGCAATGGCTCTTCTTGCCCCCGATCGAGACAAAGCCATAGGTATTACCTTATTTCCCCAGTGCCTTGCTCCCTTCTATTGTACAAATCCTCCTTAGGAGGGTGTTCCCACTCGCACGCGCGCTCGCTTCCTACAATCTCGAATCGTTTCTTTCTCGCCACCACTCCCCTGTTTATGCCGAAACAATACGCTCGCTCGTTATTTTAATGGATCTGTTGTAGCTGTCCTCGCGACGGAACGTCGTTTACCGTCTCGTCCTCGAGATAAACGCATCGATACCGCGAGATGCGTGGTTGGAAAGGAAACGATCGGTTCATGATTAAATAGCGCGTGA